AGTCGTTCCCGTAATCACCTGTGCGGCCGCATTCTGGACCAGTTGGAGCCTCCGGGTGCTCCTCAAGGGGAGCCCCATGTAGAGAGCGTTACAGTAGTCCAGGCGAGAAGTGACGAGAGCATGAGTGACTGTGCATAAGGAATCCTGACTCAGAAAGGGGCGCAACTGGTGTATCAGGCGAACCTGATAAAAAGCCCCCCTGGCCACGGCCGTCATGTGCTCTTCTAAAGACAGATGTGTGTCCAGGAGGACGCCCAAGTTGCGAGCCCCCTCTGTGGGGGTCAATGACTCGCCCCCAATAGCCAGCGATGGCACCTGCTGGCTATATCAGGATGCCGGCATCCACAGCCACTCGGTCTTGGAAGGGTTGAGTCGAAGCCTGTTCCTCCCCATCCAGACCCGCATGGCCTCCAGACACTGGGACATCACTTCAAGGGCATCGTTGGGGTGGCTTGGGGTGGAGATGTACAGCTGAGTGTCATCAGTGTACAGATGGCACCGCACCCCAAATCCACAGATGATCTCACCCAGTGACTCCCAAAGTTCTTGCTAATTCATTGCTGGTCTTGGCTGTTTGTCTCCAAAAGGAATTTCTCTTCTGTTGCTTCGTTTTACTGTAAGTCCCCCCCCAAAAAAAAATACTTAGTGTGTTATTTCAAAAGCTATTCTGTGCTTTTCTAGCTGGCTAGCCATACAACCCTTTTAAATGAGTTCACCATTTGTCTCAGGTTTAGAAGATCACCTGGAGAACCTCTGGAGCAGGATTCCCCAGATCAATGCCATGCACTCCTACCTAATGCACCTTAGGACTTTGGGGCCTGCTGCAGCTTCTGAGGCTCGCCATATCGATCAAGCTCTAAATAGACCATCTTGGTCAAGCTGCTGTTTTCTCCATATTTTTATGGAGGGTCGCTAATGGGAACGTAGAAGGTAGCAAAGCACTTTGCTGGGCTCTTAACTATACTTAACAGTCAGGAACATACCCTTGGCTTTTTTCTATTCACATGACAATAAGCACTCATATGGAAGGAATGATTTGCCCTGAATTGCTGTATGCTGTATCTTCCCGTCTTCGCTTGCTCTCTTTTTCTTTCTCTCCTGCTTCCATTCAGCTCCCCTCCCTTCCTCCTAGCAACAATGGGAAAGAGAATCAAACCCTCCTTTTGATTTGGCTGTCCTACTTTTAGGTAAACTGCCTCTTCTTGCGTTTCCTAAGGCAGGGCAGGCATCCAATTGTGCTATCTTTGTTAAATGCTGGCATGTGCCTGTGCCCTACTTTATGAAAGCATTTGGACCTGTTTAAATGAAGGGAACATTTTTGCCTTAGGAATCTCTGCATGCTCTGAAGAATCTGAATTTCTCATCTCTTCCCTGACCAGGCCTTGGAACTATTATTATGAGTTGATGTCTTGATCAATTGATGATTCATTCAAAGTGACATTGGAGGCTGACTGGGCAGGACTCTGTTTCCCCTGTTTAGTTCCTCTGCTTGTCAAATGAGCATAAGAAGCCTTGCTTGCTTTGTCAGACCAAATGGTTTTGAAATGCAACAGACCCAAGGAGAGCATAATATTGTTCCTTTCATCCATGATTTGTTTGTTAGCATTGATGCCAAGGAAAGGAAGTCATAAAGGAACAGCAGTGAGTGGCAGCTGACAGCAACAGGTGGTTATATTTACTGACAAAATGCAAATTATAGAGGGACATTTGGTATATGTTTTAAGAACCACTTTGGTCTAGTGGTGGTGAAGGCACTAGGCTAGAAAACAGAAGGTTGTGAGTTCCAGTCCTATGACAGGAATGAAGTCAGCTGGGTGACCTTGAGCCAGTCCTTCTCTCTCAGCTCTAGAAAGGAGGCAATGGCAAATGAATTTTTTCTGAGAAAAATTGCAGGAATTTCTCCAGGCAATTGCCAGGAGTAGAGAAGGAAAAAGAGAAGGAGAGATAAAGTGGTAAACATTACATGGAAGGGGAGAGGCTAAGAATACCCCCCCCCCAAATATGGCATTGGAGCTGGCATTGCTTAGATGTCTTACCTATTCAGTTGTCTCAACCTGTCCGAGCTCAGTGCACACTGAGTTAAAAGAAGATGTTGCTGTTATCGACCAGGTATTTTAATTTAGAAACTGTTTTCTGAACATTCCAAAAACTCAACCATACTTCTTTCAAAATCACTCCTCAGCCAGCCTACAGAAGGGGCCAATATTGTGCACTTAGAAAGATCCATATAGCACTCATTGTCAGGACTAAGGCCGTTTAGGGTTTTCCCCCTATCTCTGAGTTAAGGTGCCCACCAGTGCTGGGATTCAAGTAATTTAACAACCGGTTCTCTGCCCTAATGATTTCTTCCAACAACCAGTTTGCCAAACTGCTCAGAAAGTTAACAACCAGTTCTCCCGAAGGGGTGCGAATTGGCTGAATCCCACCACTGGTGCCCACCCACATCCTTATGTTAGCACAAAACAATACAGCCCATTAAATTTGTTGTCCATGATACCAATATCTAGCCTACTTCTATTGCCTCTGTTTTAAGTCATTGAATATTCTTGCCATTATCTTGTTGCTTATTGCTACAGGCATGCTAATTGTCCCTTCTGGTGTTGCTTTCATCTCTTGTTAGTATATTGACAGCAAGAACATCAGTCTTCTAGTCATTGCCAGAGGAATGGGTCTCACTTCAGGACTCTGCCCTGGATGAGTTGGTGTGTGTGTGTGTTGCCGAATGGGTGTGTGGATTCCAGCTGTTGCTCCCTGCATGCTGATCAGGTGTTTGGCAGTCAGCAACAGCACAAAAGTGATGGAGGAAAAAAAAAAGTGCCTTCAAGTCAGTTTTGACTCCTGACAATTGCCCCCTGCCCTTTTCTCAGCAGCGTTTTTCAGAAGTGGCTTAACAGCTCCTTCTTCCTGGGGATGAGAAAAATGAGAAGGCCAAGATCTGCAAGCTGGCTTGTGACCAATGCAGGAGCAGAATTCCATCTCCTAGTCTTTAACCACTACACCAAAATGGCTCTCAGCAGTGAAGAGGTGTGTTTGTCTATGTGTTAAAAGTGATCCATCCTCGGTATTAAATACGTTAGCTATGCCACTGACTCTACCTATGTTCCTTAGGTTGGTTTGTCCTCCCCTGTTCCCATGCTCCATTTGGATAACTGCAAACCTAAAGTAATGTGAAATCATGAAATACCAGAGTAGATCTGGCCTTAGAGAGGAAGGAGGCAGATGAACCTAGTTCATCAGTGAACTAGGTCCCCGACTAACGATTAGATAATGTTGGAAGAAATATCCATCTGGCTCAGTTCCAAGCCAGGAGAAAGACACTGGAAACATGGAGGCTGATTGGAAAAAGTGTTTAATGATGAAGGAGAACCACATGGATGGTTCTAGGCACCTGACCATATGGAGCTGAGAGAGAGGGGTTTTTATATCTTCTTTTGGGCTTTGAATTTGAGCTTCCTGTTCCTGTGCAAGAACATGTATTCTATTTGCTGTTATCAGATTCCTATGGGGTCATGTTTGTCTGAGCTCCCAGGCTTGGTTGAAGTTTGTTGGGTGATGCAATGTCCTTAGGAGATTGTGTCATGTGGTGAGCTCTGCTGCTAGATGAGTTAATCCTATTATGTCCTAGAGGGTCTCATGTCTTAATCCCATCATCCCAGAGCTGGAGATCTTTTGTCTTGTAGATAGGCTGGCCCAGTCTTTCTTAATGGGCACCAAATATCTGCTGGGGTCAGGGAGCTGCTTTCTGTCTTTAAAACATGTTTCTTCTTTTATCATCCAGGGAAATATAATATTTTGGCTTTTTTAATATTTCCCAAAATATTTCATTCTTCTAGGAGAGCGGTGGGTGGTAACTTTCTACAATAGCTTGTCCCTTCTTTCAAGGGGTGGGGTTGATAGTGGATTGAAACTGACAAATATAGAGAAAATGGCAAATATGCCTCAAACATTATAAATTTTAATATGACAGGAGAGAACAATAATTAAATACATGGTAAAATTATAGGCATTAATTTCTTTGCCTTTTTCTAGCCACATTCTTTGGACCAGTACATAGAAGGATACTCAAAAGGCCAAGTTGAAACTCTCAGGTCAAAATATTCCTGGCTTAAATAGCAGCAGTGTTCCCACAGCACACTTAAGCAGCCACTTAAATATTTATTGGCTGCCTTTGCGTAATATGCAAAAATTGGTAATGTTCATCTTGATGTCAGTGGAAATTCAGAAAATGGGTTAATTCAATAACTAAAATATACCCATTATGTGAACGCATTAATTGAATTTCTGTCTGGTTGTTTTGCAATGTAATGATTTTTGTAAGCTTTCTGCTCAAGAATGAGCATGTTGAGATCATGGCTACTTTTTAGAGAATGAACAGAAATGGATGCTTTATTTGCATATTTTTCCTGGAGCTCTTCTCTAGACCATATTTGATGGATTTCCTTTATTAATAGTTATCCCTGGATTAAAATCTTACAACAATGAAGCCTTCACGGCCTCAGTGATGGCCAGACAGACTGTATCATTGTTATATTGTAGTTCATTTTCTCCTTTTCTGAAAATGTCACCTTGGGATGTATTGATCAGTTATGTGCTCAGTAAATGGCAGAGGAAGCACAAGAACATGAACTACAATTTGAAAAATGAAAATAGACAGCAAACAAATCTTCCAGGGATAAAACAAACAAACAAATGAACAGGAAAGATTCTTGTAACTGCTGAAAGACTAAGCAATTTATTGTGGAATAAACTTTCATGGTCTAGAATTGACTTTCCCTCGGCACCATGTTCGGTTTATGATGCACAAAGTACTGTTTTATTGGATAGACCCTAAAACTTCTTATATGTCATGTTCCTCAACAGTCAACATGTTCTGTGCATTGACTTGAATGGTCGTGTATACACTGCTATTATATTTTGAATACCAATGATGTTTGCAAGTGTCAGATGGCAGGCATACTATACTGCTCTTTCCTTTAAATGCACATCTCTGACAACAGGAGCCGTGTTTGTTCAGCAACATTTATTCATCATTGAAGACTGAAAGGAAACTGAAATATGGAATGACTGGCAGACCCAAAGGCCAAAGACAATTTTACTTTCTTTCATCTTTAAAGCAGGTGAATTGGGCAGACAGGCTGTGCTGTTTGTGTCTCTAATGTAAAAGCATTAACTCATGAAAGGAAAATTCTATTCTTTTTTTTACAGGAAATCTTTTCCTGACATTTCTTAATGTAGTACATGCCAGATGCGATGCTCAGGGGCCATGCCGATAAAAGCGTGTAGTCTAAAAATAGCCCATTCAGTTGGATATCTTAGTTCCTTTGTAAGAGCTTCTCTGGCACCTTCAAAGTATTCTGAAGTCTTGCTGTGACAAGAGGGATAAGATCTTAACTCGTCCACTTGAGTGTAAAGCACAGATTCAGGCAGAGGTGTGTTTCAGCAGGTTCTGACCAGTTCTGGAGAACCAGTAGCGGAAATTTTGAGTAGTTCAGAGAACCGGTAATAACAATTCTGACTGGCCCCGCCCCCATCTATTCTCTGCCTCCCAAATCCCAGCTGATTGGGAGAAAATGGCGATTTTGCAGTAACCTTCCCCTGGAGTGGGGTGGGAATAGAGATTTTACAGTATCCTTCCCCTGGAGTGGGGTGGGAATGGAGATTTTACAGTATCCTTCCTCTGAAACACCCACCAAGCCATGCCATGCCCACCAAGCCATGCACACAGAACCGGTAGTAAAAATTTTTGAAACCCACCACTGGATTCAGGGTTGCACAGGTGTGCAGAACAAGTTCATAAAAGGTATATATCATAATAATGCCACTGTACCTTATTTCCTAGGGTCACTTTGCACCCAGTGTAAAAGTGAACCCTTGAGGAAATATTGGAAATGTTCTAATAATGTTCCCATTGCTAGAATTGTACCGCAGTGCTCAAGTATCTTCATGGTTGCCAATGAAGGAGATAGAAACAAAACTAAAATCAATTCTGCTACTATTGGTCTCCCTTTCCTTTACTCTGTTAGTTCCAATGAGCAGCAGTTGCCAAAGTATGATACAGGTAGTTCTTGACTTACAACAGTTCACTTAGTGACCGTTCAGTTACAACTGCACTGAAAAAAGTGACTTATGACCATTTTTCCCACTTATGACCGTTGCAGCATCCCCATGGTCACATGATTTGCATTCGGATCCTTGACAACTGACTCACAGTTACGTACGGTTGCAGTGTCCCAAGGTCATGTGATCACCTTTTGCTACCTTCTGACAAGCAAAGTCAATGGGGAAACCAGATTCACTTAACAACCGTGTTACTGATTTAGCAACTGCAGTGATTCACTTAATAAATGTGGCAAGAAAAGTTGCAAAACTCACTTGACAAATTTCTCACTTAGCCACATAAATTTTGGGCTCAATTGTGGTCGTAAGTTGAGGACTACCTGAATATCTTGGTACTGTTCTGCCAATTTGATACCTGAATTCAGCTCTTCTTTAATTCTCTCGTAGGACCATTTCTGCACATTCCAACCACATATTAACATTCTTGGATAATCTCTGGCTTCATACATTTCATCTAATAAGCAGAATAAGCAGGCATATGATCAATGGGAATTCCATACTTTTTTTTTTCAAAATTAATCTTTTCCAAAGTCAAAGCAGAACAGTTAAACGTAAATGTAAATCATCCAATATATTTTGTTATGCTCCAAAGATTCTGGCCAAAAAGACTGATCTATTCCTGCTGCTTAGATGTCCATCTCTCAGTCATCACCTGATGACATGCAGTGCTTTGGAAAGGAATCTCAGTGAAATATGTCCATCATATGGAGGAAAAGGAAACTCAAGAGTTTTGAAATCCCCAAACTTCTAGTAGCTGGACCTGGAAGTTTTGTTGGCAGAGAGGTGGGTTGTCAAATGTTTCACAGTGTTCTGTTCTTCCATGATTCAGATTAGCATCAACATACAGAGCTTGGCCTCCGCCTCCCCCTAAGAAAAAAAAAAAACCAACATGATTGGTTAAGAAATGTTCCTCACCACCTTATGGAACAGAGCTTTTAGATACTGCCCCTGGTCTCTTTCCCTGTTACTTGCATCTAAACAGTTTCTGACTTGAATTGAAGATGGGTGTGTTGTTATACTAGACATGATACAGTTTTGATAACATCATGGAAAATGATGACTTTATAGATACGTGAAAAATGTCTTTAAAATGACAATTTTAGACATAAATGGTATAAATTAGACTAGACATAGATAGGTATGTCTAGTCTAGTGAAACGAAGGACTGGAGGGGGAACATGATAGCACTCTTACAATATTTGAGAGGCTCTTACAAAGATGAGGGGGCCAGATTATTTTCCAAAGCATCAAATGGCAAGACACGAAAGAATGGTTGGAAACTAACCAGGAGAGAAGTGACCTAAACTAAGGAGAAATTTCCTAACAGTGAGAGCAATTAACTTGCCTTCAGAAGTTGTAGGTGCTCCATCACTGAAGGCTTTCAAAAAGAGACTGGAGAACCATTTATCTGAAATGATATAGGGTTTCTTGCTTGAGCAAGGAATTGGACTAGACCTCCAATGTCCCTTCCAACTCTATTGTTTTATGCTCTATGTTCTATCTTTGCTAATATAGTACATGTACTGTTGCTTCCTTGTGGCTGTCATGAACAGCACGGTATTCTCTTGCTATGTGTACTGCAGAACACGCTGATCAATGACCATCAGGGCTACATCATCAACGAGCCCAAAATTCTTGTCTAGATCAGGGCTTATTCTGCAAGGTACATAATAGGCTTATTTGGTGAATATAAGCCACAAAGGTTTATTCTTCCATCCATACTAGGTAGTTGGTGTGTGTGTGTATGTGTGCATTGTCTTCTATTCCTTAGCTTTTGTCTGATATCAGTGAACAATGTCTTCATGCTTTGGTTAAGGATTTCAACTAATTAAAATCCTTAACACAAAAAAACAATCCTTTTCCTCTTATATATCTGTAATTATCTATAGCTATCTATGTACCATCTTTCTATGAAGAACTCACCAACAATAAATAAAAATAACACAATTTATATAATTGTCTGAAAATGGTAAAACAATGGTCGAATTACAAAGCCAAGTTTTTAAAAATGGCTTGAAAATGAATTTTAAAACTCAAAAGATGTAGCTATCTTTCGCAGTTAGTATTCATAATCAGCTACAGCCGGGCAGGTTCATCAAAGCTAACTAAATCATACTGTGGCTTAATATGACCTATGAGTACAACTTAGGGGAATTGCAAGATGATGAGATGCCCTTCTGAGCACCTTCTTTCAAGCTATTCTGCAGCTAACTAAACCAGTTGCTCTGTAGTTAGCCAGATCCAGGGTCATTTGGAACTTTAAAAGCTAGAGCCAATTAATGAATTGAACTCATAAAATAACTGATGCTGGGCCCTGATCTTTCCTGCTGATGTAATCAGATCTCAGTGCTATATACTGGTTAGCAACTTCAGTTTTTACTGACACTCTAAAGCAATCCACTTCTTACAGAAAAGACTGAACTTAGTTAATTCTCACTGAATTGTGTTTCTCAACTTCTTTTCTATTTGAAAATTCAAATTGTATGTGGCTTGAGATAAACCTCTTTCATGTGACTAGCGTTTATGCTGACCCTACCGTAAACAACAATTTCATGCCACCATGTGATGCCCAGCAAGTGTTTCACCTTCCTCTCCTTGAACTGACCAGAGCTCTCTCCATCCAGAATCATCTCCTTCTTAGCTACTCCCTTCCCACAGTTACTTTTCACAGCAAGGGAAACAGACAGGCTGTTGAACGAGAGGCAGTATGGCAAAGCCAGCATTTAGTGAAACTGCAGGAGAGAGCAGGTAAAGCATGGTAGCACATTGTCATTTGCCAAGAAAGAGAATCTTAAGCTCTGCAAGGTGAGACAAGGTGTAAGTTCCAGCCAATAAGAAATCACCAAGCACCTAAAAAAAACCCCCAACAACAACAGCTTGCCTCATTTCCTCTGGAGTAGGAGCCACATTGAGAGAGAGGTTTTGCATTCATGCCCCAGAGAACATTTGTATTGCTCTCATTTATGGAAAAGGTCTTAATTTTCTTTCACTTCCTCTAATGCTGAATTCAGGTAGGGTCTGCTGGTAAATTTATAAGCAAAGAGTAAGATGAGAGTAGGAGAGAAAAAAATTAGAAGTATTTAAAACAACCAGAAGTCAGCCAAGTAATTCACAATATTAGCTATGTTTAGATTTCGAGACAGACATGCTGGTTCAACACTAGATGAAGGGGAGTAGGTGGAAGCAAGAGCTAGGAGCAAGAAGGAAGAAACAAGGCCAAGCATGTGAGATAGTGTGGAGGAGTGAGAAAAGTAGTCAAGAGCAAGACGCACAGAGGAGACAGGTGGATTTGAAAGTGACAGATTAAGGAAGAAAGAAAAGAGAAAACAGAAGGGTGGGGGGAGAGAAAACGTAGCAATACTCCTGGAACAAAGGGTTTTATTGCAACTCCCGCTTGTTCGTATGTTGAAATGATGATGATGGTGATGATAATGATGGTCATGATGGTCATCATGATGATGATATAACGGGTTCCATATGAATGTTTCTCCTTCGTATGCTTTGGTAGGACAACCTTGCCAAAAGTTCATCATGACCTTCTACCATATTGACATTCTCCTATATGTTCTTTTCCTACCCCAAAATATATGTAGGTTGTGATCATCCCAGCTCCGCTGTGGTTGAATTTATATGTTAAATAAGCAGCACCAAAATAATATTTGATTTGGGGATTGGGGCACCAGAAAAGTGTATAGTGCTTAGCTTTACAGATTATCCACAATGTTTATTTGCATAATTACCTATGACAATTCCTTCCTGGCTTCCAGACATAAACATGGAGGCTGTTTTGGAGGGCAACTTGAAGTGTCTAATTGCCAAGAAGGGAGAGAGACGGTATTTAATTGTTTCTAATTTTGGTACAGTGAGATGATTTGAGCTGGTTGTTCTGGGCCTCTCCAAAGAAAAGGGAGATGGAGAACGCTGGCGTTGGGGACAAGGTAGAGCTTTAGCTTGTTCTGGCTTCTTGATGAAGACCCATTCATATCGTTCCATTTTAGGATGCACCTTTTAAGAAAAGACAATATCAATCACGGATATTTTGGAACTCACCACCCAGAATAGACAGGCCTTTCTTTTCCCTCTGTGGATCCAGAGTTTTGGTGTAGCCTAGGAAGGAGGGTTAAAACAGCCCTATCCTCTCCTTAATTAGAGAAGATTTCTGGAGTCAGAACCGAAATCCAACAAGGGTAGAAGGGTACATTAGCTAAAAAGAAATCAAACCAGAAAGACATCAGAAAAGTGGGAAAGAGAAGCCTCCAACACAAAGGAGAGCACCATAGCAGTGGTCTTCAAGCAAAATAAAACTAATTCTTGGCCCTGCAAGATCAGCTAAGAGACGGAGAAGGAAAAGAGCCTGATCAGTGTCTACAAACCCGAGCATGATTACAAACCAGGTTCAGAAAGAGAGGACTGTAAGAGCTGGGGGAGAGAAAAGCACAACAAAATCCATGAAGAGAAAATGGTTTTTACATGCAAGGGACTGGAGCTGGCTGCAAGAGCTGAAGACCTAGAGCTGAAGGGAAACATAGTGCTACAAACATAGAAGTAGGAACATCGAGGTAGAACTTAGAGCTAAGAGTGTATAAATTAGGATAAAATCATCCCATTTATAGTAATGGGAAGCCTGTAGATTCAGAAAGATGGGAAACTAGAAACAAGCATACAATTAGCATTAAGGTTACAAGTAAGGAATAGGAGTTTAATTTTGAATAATAAAGCAGTTTTTGTAGAGAAAAAAACAAAAATAAATGCAGTCTTTCTGCCTATGATCTGTATTAGATTAAGAAAAACCCTAACAGATATCCTAACTATGACTATTCAGTACATTTGGCAAGAACTGCGCAGGGATAGGAAGCTCTAACGTAGAGATCCACAGGCTGCAAATTGCACTTAAGTCCCATCCGCACATTGATGATATGCTATGGTGTCATTTGGAATTATCAAATACATAAAGTAACCCATTTTATTTTATCCAAAAATTCCAACTTTGCATCACTACATATCCCTTGTTCTTGCTGCTGAAAACACCATTCAAAAATATTGTTTTCTTGTTTTGTTATGATCTGGCCTCATCACACAACAGATTTTGGTTAAGATCTTGATATCAGCAAATGGCAGACTTAGGCAGAGAATGACTCTTTAGGGAGAGTGAAGGGGACCTTTTCCCAGAGAGAAGAGAGCACAGATCAGCCTCCCCCCCCCAAAAAAATAGAATTGCCTTTTCCCCTTTATATTAGTATGCAGTTACAATTTTAGTTAATATTTAAATTTTGTATTAAGCTGGTCAGAAGGGCCTGTTTCAAAGTTGGAATGTTAGTATGTTGTGAGGAGGAAGAATTATCAGGTATTATAGATTCAGGCGAATCAACTAGGTTAGCAGTTAGTGAAATGGACCAAGCAATTTCTATGCACATTGGGGAAGATACATAACATGTACCATGCTGCACTTCACTGGAAGTGACTGTAGAAAGACATTCAATGAAGTATTGTTGGGAGAAGGGCTCCCATCTTTTGAGAAGGCATTCAGGGACATAGGTTTTCTTTTGGAATAATACAACAGTTTTCATTCTTTGCAGATGTAGAATTCCTCTGAAGCCCCAAAATGCATATGAGCTCTGTCTCCGACGTTCAACTCTTTGCTGGTATAGTGATCAGCTCTTTTTTTGGTCTTTAATTCCATTAAATCCCATCCTCGTCACCAGTGTTAGATTTTGGATTGAATGGAAAGACACGGAGTGATCTTCAGCTACAACTTTTTATTTAACACAGTGAAACAACCAGCAAAATAGTCTGGCTGACAGCACTCCTTTTATAGGGGGCTGTCAGCCGGGCAACCAATCAGTTTAAAGCAGTTCTCCCGCTTAAACAGCAGACCACAGTGAAGACTTCAGCACTAGATTTCAGTAACTAATTACAATACATAACAAGCTCTATTTTCTAATTTTCATCATACCCTTAGGTTGGAGGCAGGGGTGGCATTCAGCCGGTTTGAACCGGTTTGAGCGAACTGGATGCTAATTTTACATCTGGTTTGCTGAACCGGTAGTTGCAAGGAATGTCTGGCACCGCCCGCCCTGCCCCTCCCAGGAGTCTCTATGCAGCCCATTTTGGATGCCAGGTAAGTGCAGTGCCCGTGTGGAGGCTCTGGGAGGGTGAAAAACGGGCCTCCCAGAAGTTCTGAAAGTCCGGAAACAGGCCCATTTCTGGCTTTTGGAGAGCCTCCGGAGCCCGGGGGAGGCTGTTTTAGCCCTCCTAGAGGCTCGAGGAAAGCCTCCAGAGCTTGGGGAGGGTGAAAATACCCCTCTCCCCACCGTGGTGCAGGAGGCTGAGTAGGCCATGCCCACCATGCCCACAGCCACCCAGCAACCAGGCAGAGAACCGGTTGCTAAAATTTTTGAATCCCACCCCTGGTTGGAGGGTTATATTCTCCATCAGGGAGCCCTGGTGGGGCAGTGGTTAGAATGCAGTATTGCAGACAAACTCTGCCCACAGCCTAGAGGTTGATCCTGATGGGGCTTGAGGTTGATTCAGCCTTCCATCCTTCTGAGATCAACAAAATCAGGACCCAGACTGTTTGGGGCAACATGCTGACTGTATACACCACTTTGAGAGTGCTGTGAAGCACTATGGGGCATTGTATAAGTCTACATGCTATTGCTATTGCTATTGTTATGGAAGTAAGTTAAACTTACTGTAAAAATAAAGCATTCTCCTGTGCCAAAGAAGCTTGTTGTTCCTCCCCGTTTTTTCCTTTCATTCCAGTCAGAGGAAAGAAATGCTCCACATACCTGAATGGGAGGAAGATGTGAGCAACTGCATAAGGTTTCCTGATAATCAAAAAGACTCAAGAAAATGAATGATCACAGAAGACCACTTGAACTCTTACTGTATTCAAAACATTCAGTGAAAAGATGGGGTAACCAAGCAATGTGAAGATGTAGTTTAAGAACATGTGATTATCATCTTCCAATTACTTTATGAGGGTACCCTGGAGCAGAACATTAGGGACGAGGCTACCGTACCCCCTTTTGATGTATACAGGTTTAGGGGAGCAGTTCTGAGTAAGTTCATCCATTGAAGTTTTAAGCCTCATAAGTACTTGTGCTTCCAGTGCGACTATCATAGTAAAGGAATACATACAATTCCAGGCAACAAAGGCTAAAAAGTAATCAGTAAAATGCATAACCAAAGATTAGAAATACTCAAGTACTTGAAGATAGAAGCACAAAATAACACTGGAAATGAAAAGTCTCGCAAACCAAAATCAGATCTTTCTCTTGCATCCAAGAGGATGAAAGTGAAGGTTCATTCTCCAAACTTGTGGGTTGGTTTCCAAATATTTCATTACTAGGCTGGGTAACATCTTCAGCGAAGATGAAGACCCTCACAAGACCCATCACAATCCACAGAGGGATTGAATCAAGATCATGTTAGGTACTAATACCACTCTATAAAGCCTTAGTAGAATACACCTAGAATACTGCATCCAGTTTTGGTCACCACACTATAAAAAAGTTGTTGAGACTTTACAAAGAGTGCAGATAAGAGCAACAAAAATGATTAGGGCACTGGAGGCTAAAACATGAAGAATGATTGCAAGAACTGGGCATGGCTAGTCTAGTGAAGAAAAGGACCGGGGGTGACATGATAGCAGTGTTCCAATATTTGAGGGGCTGTCACAGAGAGGAAGGGGTCAGGCTATTTTCCAAGGCATCTGAAGGCCAGACAAGGAACAATGGATGAAACCCTCACCTGACGTGACCTCTGCATCACAAGATCTACTGACCATACAAAGCCTTTAAAAATAGACACTGACACTGACATCCCCTACATGCCACTGAATATGTTACCTAGCCTGGCAATGAAACATTTGGAAACCAATCCAGAAGCTCAGAGAAAGAACCTCCATCCTCATCCTATACCCGAGTTACAGATATTCGCCACCATCACAATCCAAGAGGATGTCAGGCAATGCTCACTGGAGAGAATGTTCAGAGATGCAGCTCTTTATCTGAAACACTCTATTCTTAGTAGCCCAGCATGCTGTTCATCCTGTAAATTTAGGGCCTGGAAGCAACTTAAAACCTGTCCAGATGTTAACGCTCCTAAGTGTGTATTTGAGACTGAGATGTACACCTCTCCATAAAAAACTGTGAGCAAAAAGAAATGTGTGTCATATAAGAATTGCCTGCAATTTCCTATTGAGCAGTTGGCATTCACAGTTGGTGGCAAACTTGGCAAGGCAACCCTCGGAATGCTTCCCCTTCCTCCTCATCAGGCAAGAAATAGGTATTCAATGTACAAATTATTACCTTTGAAAGTGTCTCTGATAGCAACATATTCATTCATTTGTTTGTATTGATTAGATGGTTTCCCCCCCCCATTTTTTGCTTTTTGAATATTACTTTTGAAAGTGTCTCTGACAGAAACATATTCATTCATTTGTTTATATTGATTAAATGGTTCCCCCCCCTTTTTTTTTGCAACCAATATGTTTTATTCTTGGAACAACAATAAATGGTCCTATGTGAAGCCTTCCTGGTTGTTTTATAAAGCCCCCTATTTTTTCTTCAGTCCTTGTCTTTCCTCCAACCTCCATTAGGCTCTCAGAAATCTACTTAACCTCCATTGTCAGCATTCTTTCAAAAAAATACTCCTGATGTAATAAGACTTAACATGTAGATTTTTGAGAGAGTTGGGCATCCTTTTTACATAGAAGTAAATGAATGCGTGTTTGTGATTTAAGCACATAATTTTGTTTTTTAACCTAGAATACACTTGCTGCATATGGCTTTGGATGGTTTCTGTTTTATTATAGCCCCAAAGATGGAAGATCCCACTACACCAGAATTATTTGAGATATTCAGAACTAAATCACTTACTTCTCCCAGTGTGTTTTTTAACAACAGTAAAGTTGGCTCATAGCCTTCACAGCAGGAATAAAACCTGTCGGAAGCAAAAGAAATGGGATGAAATGAGTCCCCTGCTAATGGCTGGGAAAGCAATTCCTTGATGGCATTGAGATGGGGATGGCTTGAACAGTGGAGCATGTTATTCTTAGTGCTTTATTAATAAGCCTGGAGCGAGAAAAACAACAAGATGGAAACCAGACAGACTCTGAAATAGAAGTTGTATAGTTACCTCACATGTTTTACGTTGTCACAGAAACATGTACTTATGGAACGTGTTTTCAGTAGAACAAATTCCATTTTTCATGCAGATACTTTTCTGCTGTAAATCTTCTAAATATATCCATAACCATTAGGAATGGGTGATAAAGATGATGGAAGTTGCAGAGATTGCTAAATTAACTTCTTTGATCAGCGAAAAAAACCCCCAATATTTATATTTAAGGCTGATTGAAAATTCCTTAAAGACTTTTTGTATGAATAGAGGGAAAAAATGAACTTATGTCCTGTGATTTTGATGATTAGAAAAAAAACCCACTTGATAATAGAAAAAAGTGAGCTTTTTTTGTAATCATTGAATAAGAGATAATTTTGTAATTGTATTTATATTTGCTGCAAATACAGTTCTGATAGATATCAGAATTGAAGATTCTGATAGATATCAGAAGCTTCTATTTCTTTTTACCTTTTGTTTCTGCACTTTCCTTCCTTCCTTCCTTCCTTCCTTCCTTCCTTCCTTCCTTCCTTCCTTCCTTCCTTCCTCCTTCCTTCCTTCCTTCCTCCCTTCCTTCCTCCCTCCCTCCCCCCTCTTTATTTGTCTTAGTTTTTATGTTCTTTTTATAACTTTTAATAACAGTGTATTTTTTTCTATATAGTTTCTAAATATGCCATTCTACTGTTTTTAAACTCCTAGTGGAGTTCTCAGAGCAACGATTTAAAGGATCAGGAGAAAGGGACAGGAAAATATGCAAGAACCTTAGACAAAGGGGCTGGGACATTATTTAAGTCCTGGGAAACAAGATAATACTTGGAAGTGATTCCGGGAGATATTTACAGCCCTCTCTAAGTTTACAGAGTCAGCATATTGACCCCAACAATTTGATTCAATCTGCCAAATTGCAGGCAGCCGACAGTCAGCAAAACTTGCCTGCAGTACTGCATTCTAACCACTGCGCCACCGTGGTGTTACTTTTTCATTTCATTGCCAACATGACTGCAAATGGTCACTGAATGAGGATTGTTTGCATAAAACCTTTTTTTGGATTTCCAGAGAAGTTTGTTTGAGCACCTCTTGTTTTTTGTGTTTGACATGACCACATAAAATGCCTGGAGGAATAGCAGCTGGTAATGACTGCCAACAAGTCATTATTATGTTAAATCCATAAAGGAAAAGCCCAACCATTCCTTCAGTCCCACCAATATTCTTTTCTTTATTTAAAACTTTTATGTGGCCACACAATTCGACCAAGGTGATTCTGGGCAACTTCCAAAAAGAAAAAAAGAAAAAGAGGAAAGCAACAAAATATAGCAAAAAGAATTCAAAATCACAATACATACATCTACAGTATAAACAATAATGAGATAATTTTGTTCCATATTGTATAATAACTGCAAAGCAGACATTTGGAAGCTATAATTTCTGCTCAGTGAAGCAAGCAATTGCTCACATAAAACCTGAATGCGTCATAATTTCCATGGCACATGCTGGATCCTGACACAGATTCCTGGATTGGAATCAGACAGTTTAATTGTGGTTGTAAGAAGAGTGATACTTTCAGTGTAGGTGCACCTTGGCTGTTAGATACTCCAAGCTATAATGTTCACACTATTAAGGATGTTTAATCACATTCATCTTCCCCAATGTACATGGATTTTCAAATATTTCCCTTCTATTTTGAAAATATTTATAGGAAAGTGGCTAGAATACAGCTGAAGGCACCTCCCCCAACCCCAATGATTAAATGGCTAGTTGGTTATATGAACTACAGACCAGATCCTAGGAGCCGGCATGGGGACAGTCCAAAACATTAATCACATATAAATGGGTCTTTTAACATTACCAGGCCTTCAGCCACCTCCAAAGCACTGCTAATGTCGATTCATTCAATGGCTTCTGCCCTCTTCCCAGCAGGCTCCATTCTGAATGGCAGAATAAGAGGTAGGCCTGTGTAAAACAGCACCATTTCACTCTATGGAGCCATCCTCTATTATGATCTCTGGAATGATTTGTTTCAAGTTAGTGGTTTCTTGTGAAGAAGCAAGAGTTTTTGCCTTGATATCAGCAATCAAGAGGAGTAAGGGTGAGCTACTTCACTCTGGTGGAGATTTACTTTTGCAGAAGATTGCTGAACATCAGGAAAAAGGCTATTTCCTCATGGCTTGTCAGGTCCAATATATGCCTAAAAGTGAGGAGCTGCTTTGTGGAGTTTGCCTCAAAGGGGTTCTTCAGTTAAATTTCTTTGACTGAAGTATTACTTCATAAGAATCTAATCATAGGAAAGGTCCCTCCCATCAGGCTAAAGAGAGAAATTTATTCTATAAGCTCTGAGGAGAGATTCCGTTCCATCAGCTCCTTCCTGCCCTTATCTGACAGTTGCCATTTCCCGAGTATTTCAATTTGAAACTAATCATAGCAAGAATATGCTGGTTTAAGAAGTTTGGCCTTGATTTGCTTCTTCCTTCCTCTTTTCTTTCTCTCTACCTCTTAGACAGATCTGTTCTAGACCTGAAAGCTGAAATTAGAGACGATTTTGATTTTACTAAGCTTATATAAGCCATTCTGGGAGACTTTATAATTGGAGAAGAGTAAAGCTATTAAATAAATAGTACATGCTCCAAGGTAATCACCTTCTTGAGCTTTTCTTTTTTGGCACCTTAAATTTCTTTTCTCTAATCTGATACTTTTCAGAAATTTTGGGAGCTATAGTACTCTATCTAGGAAGACTGCCTAGTTAAGGTTTTGAAGAATGCCTAATACCTGAAGATCCGGTTGTGATAAATCTCAGTATTACTTGTTTTCAAAAATACTTCACAACACCCCCGCCTCCTCATGTATCTTCTAATATTATATTTTTCAGACTTGAAAGTTCCAAAGTGCATGAAATTTTAAAGATCCTACCCCTGCATTTTCTCTGGTGTCCTCCCCCCCCCGCCATTTGTCCTGAATGTCTGCTGATTAGGATCATTCAAAAGAAAGCAACGAGATACTGATTTCAGTGGCAGCTTTCTAATTGCATCTTCTGCCAAAGGGTACATTTCCAGAGAAATTTACCTATGCTACTGTCTGAGCACTCTACATGGAAATTGCTTCTGATGAGCAAATATCCAAATTGGGAAGCATATTGCTTGGAGGTTTCATAGCCCACACTGAGCCCACAAGAGTCGATTATTTGTTTAGTGAACAGAGATGGGATAGGCACTAAGGCTGTGCAGCACTTTGGATGTTATCTTTATAAAATGATTTAGAACTCAAGGGAGTGTGAATATAGTACCTCCCTGCAAAACCTTTAAGTCATCACAAGATTGTTGGGGGAGGGTGGACAACAGTCTAAAACGCTGCAGGCTAATATTGTATTCGTGCACCTGCATGCTCTGAAGCACTTTCTGAAGGTTGTGCTATGGTGGTGCAGTGGTTAAAATTCAGTACTGCGGGCTACTTCTGCTGACTGCCGGCTGCCTGCAATTTAGCAGTTTGAATCTCACCAGGCTCAAGGTTGACTCAGCCTTCAATCCTTCTGATGTTGGTAAAATGAGGATCCAGATTGTTGGGGGCAAGATGCTGACTCTGTAAATTGCTTAGAGAGGGCTGTAAAGCACAATTGCTATTGCTATTGATCCTGAAGCACTAAGCAGCCTTAATAAACATGCTTAGAGGTCCAACAACACTACACTAGGAATGCCGAAATATAATGAATTAGTCACCTTGGCATCCTTTTCTGTGTTTTTGTACCTAAAAGATTGGATTAAGACTCTCTCCCACTTTCCCAGTTTTTCAGCTATGGCAGGATCCCAAACCTTTCCAAGAAAAGATCAAGAACTTTCAAATACTGGAGTCATCAGCAAAAGAGGGTGGCATTTAAGAATTGCAAGATCCTTAGCCCTCATTTGAGCTTAAGGAAGGTGCATAAACCATAGTTCTTATTCTGAATGTTTGCTCAGTCTTTAAGTTTTTTCATAGCAAGCTTCCCATGTGTTTTTTTTTAATGAAGGTCTAGAAATGCCATGTCCATTCATTGTGAACACTGTACACTGTATTCGTCCTTAGGTAATTATGTGGAATTCTCAGCTATGCCAAGACCAATTGTAGTGTCAGTATCATAAGCACTTAAATGGACTGTATGAATAAATATTGTTCAAAATGACTTTTTTAAAAAGCAAATCAGTCTACTGACCACATTAGAATACTAAACTAAGCTTCAATATGGTTTCTTTGATTTTGACCACTTTGAATGTGGAAATTTTATAATCTTTTGTAACTGCCAAATCTATCACTCAAAGCTATCATACAATGCTCTTGTTTCTAATATTCTATTCAGTTTCTTGTGCTAATTCTTTAATTGGTATAAACTTTTATAGCTCTGTACACTTTATTATTTGCCTTAATAAGTGTCATATTTTGCTTAATACTATGAAAATATGGCCCTTACCTTTGCAAACTGTATCCATTTTCAGAAGTTGAGAATAAAAGAACAGGTGGGTATAAAGAAAATCGTTCTGGGATCCAGGACCACACAATGCGCATTTCTTGAGCTTTAACAATGGTGGAATTAAAATTATGTGTATTCACAATGAGGTGGAATGGTTGTCTGTGCAACGGGAAAAGAAAAGGGAGGCTCTAATCAAACTATAATTCCAAAGAGATCGACTTTTCAGATAGAGAGGGCACTCTTTGCAAACAATTATCAAGCAGGAATAGCTGCTGATTATATTACATCCTGGAATTGCAATGGTACAGGACACACAATGGACATAAACTCTGGGACTTATTTTAGAGCAAAGATTGTCATGTGATTTACTGGTCCTCAGCTTTCCTTATTCTTTTTACATTTACATCTATATATTCCTTCAGGGTAGAATTTTATACTTTGAGTGAAGCATAAGATATCCTTTACTCTTCAAACCAGATTTGTCTTAAAAGACAGTTGTTCGCTATTTAATGTTTATGGAGATACTCAGTCATCCAGGCTATGGTTGTCCCAAAGATGCTTTTTCAAAAGGCAACTGGACTTTTCAAAGGAAAAACAAAGAAAGACTCTTTTAATGAAAGGATTTCATATTAGAAATACTTTCCTCCCCTCCCCAACACAAAGACATACTGTATATCCTACAATACATGTATAAACTAGACAACCTTCCTTAGACAATCTATTGTCCTCAGCTCTGAAACTAAGTTTATTTAAGTTTACAAAACTTCAGGGTCTTTAAGTTTCATGATTTGATGTGAATCTGATATTAGACGTGATTTTAAGCACAGCAAATCTTGCCAATATTACTGATAGAAATGTCCATTTCATTTATCTGGGAAACTGCCCAGCATATGTATCATCCCATTCAAAAGAGGGAACACCAACCTAAAAGGCATATGGAGTCCTCTATAATGTTGGTGCCTCCTCCAACTTTTTCAGGCCACTTGTCCATTAACGGCATGCTGGCAGCCATACTCCAAAATGTGGACAAGACCAGGAGAAAAGTGGGGCAGGACAAGAACAAACTCATCAATTAAATATAATTTATTGCACTCACAGACCAATATTCAAAATAAAACATATTAGAAATAAAATAAGAATAAAATCAGAAAACAGGCTAAGAATGTTACTATTGGTGATGGATTCATCAGCGGGCACTGAGAGTGTGGAGAGTCTTAGCTTATAGGGAATTTTTAAATATCATTCTTCCAGTTATTAACTAAATACAGTTAGGTTGATTATTCAATTGCAATTACTGGAGAGATTCTGGAAGCAATATTTCACCTTTGTGTGGGGCAAATCCTGAAGCCTTGGGGTCTGACCTTGATATTAGTTCTGTTTGTTCTTTTGTGAAAATATCTGCTGTGAGGAATGGGCTTTGGAAGTCCATGTTTTATCATTCAGATAAAGCAATGAAGTTTGGCTAAAACTTCATTGCTAAAATCCTACTCTTAAATTCTAATATATCTCAGAGAAATATAAAGCATGGTAAGGCTTAAACCATACAGTAAATGGTAGATCTCAATGGTAGATTGTTAAAACACACGGAGATTTAAACCAATTTGCTTTCAGGGCTATTATTGATGTATCCTTATGCTTATTTCTACACTTTTTTCAAAGCTGGTATAAATCTAACATGGCCCAAATTTGTTTATTGTATTTTTTAAAAGGTGCATGCATATCTGACCAGTACTATCTACTGGCAGGATTAACCAATATATGTATATTATGAGTTCTATAAACTCATTGCTTAGAGCAGATGGATTATGGCAGTTGTGGTCTAGAATCTCTCTGTAGGTGAAGGCATATTTTACTGTGATTGATAGGATGGGCAGAAAATACTTTGCATGAGTTATTCTAATTAGGTAGGTCCTGCAGTCATTTAGAGTTGTATTGTCTAGCATATTGTAACTGGAAACGTTATGTCATGCCCAAAATATAGTAAACAAGGTTCTTATACCTGTGATGCACCATTGTTACTCCTTTATCCACCAGAGCCTTCCGGTTAGCCATTTGAAGAAGCCAGATTTCTTTGCGGGAAAAAAGCCGGATGCCAAATGCTTTCTCTAAAAGCTTGTCAGCCGCCAAGTTTTCCTGAATGTCCCACAGGAAAGCCTGCAAACTTCCCTTGATGTCAACCACCTCTTGTCCTCTTGAAGTCATGAAGAGACGGTATTGCTTCAGCAGTGCCAGAGCAATGCGGTAAAGGACTTTTTGCCCTTCCAAGAGATACACATCAAAGATGCGAATGACATAATTAAAGGGAAGATCATCAAAGAGCCACACCAGCCACTCAGAGTACACCTCAAAGATGTCTGATGAACTTGCTATCAGTTGATGAGCAGCTGGGCAGTGCTTATTGGCTAAGTCCCCGAAGGTCATACAGGAGGCCTTGTGAGCCAGGAAGGACTGGTCTATGTAGGTGGTATGGGGAGCCTTGGAGTAGAGGAATCGGCAAGTAAGCTCAAAGCATTGGGCCTCATCTTGGCTGTAATGGAGCACCAGAGCAGTCACAGCTGGGAGCAAAGGACAGTAAGTAATCTCAGGGTAGAGACTGGAAATGCAGATAAGTATTTTCTTCAAAGCCGTTATCCCTTCTGGAGTGAGGCAGTATTCGGGCATGATGCTTCCTGACAGGAATTCAGGTAAGGGATCGAAAGTTTCACTCTGGTTTCCAAATAACTTGCTGGCCACATCTTGGTAGACAAAGGCATCAGGAGTCATTAGCCGGCATGGTATATCTTGGATAATGTGCTGGTAAGCCTTTGCTCTTAGGGTATGGCTTCCAGCCCAAAATCCTTCCCTTGCTAGCTTCTTCAGCTCTTTCCTAGACTTGCCAAGGAACTGCTCATGAGAGTCCTGATGATCATTCAGTTTGGGGATTTTGCTGTGGTCCACAAATATACTGCAGCCTAGGTAGGAAGCTGAATTACTATCCCATGTCCCAGCCTTGGCAATGATTTGCACAGGTTCTTTAATTGGATTAACTGTCTCTGTAGAATAAAGACATTATGTTCAGTGCAATTTATCTACTATTTGACAGCTTGCTTAATGCTGCTTGACAAGTATAGGGGGGGAAACCAGCATTGTTGTTTTTCTCCAACTTTTGAACAAGTAGCACTTAAACTGATAAACAGCAATTTGCCATTTGCTCTTAAGCTTCCATTTCATTCAATAGGTAGTTGGTCTTATCAATGTTAGGAACTGAAGGGTAGGGCAATAGAAGATTTACACTATGGTAGGGTTAAATACTAAATACGATGCAATAATTTTTAAAAAAGAGATTTATTTATCTAATGAATAATCATTATATATTTCTCAAAATGGCTATAAAATAGTATTTTGTTATCCTGATATGGCATCAGTCAACATAGCAAATACCTGTGTAGTCACTAGATTCTCAAGATGCTTCAGAAGATGAAGCTTTCCATGCACAAACATTTTAGATTACAGTGAAACAGTTCACTGTAACATAGCTCTGGACTGTTCTGAGCACTGCAGAAATTCAGACACTACAAGGACAGGCACAAGCACATGTTCCCTGACAGAGAATGAAGACAACAGGAGGTAGGAAATTATTTTATAGCTATATTATCTAGTAGGAAAAAAGTTGGTGCTATTAGGACTGCACATAACCCAAAGTCTTCCCACTTTGGAAGTCCTTGTATCTTTTTGCATCAGTGTCTTGTCCCTCCCATTTCTTCTTCCTCCTTCTCCCTGCCTACTCCCTCAGTTGCTTTCTAGCGAAACAGAGGTGCTGTAATTTCATTCTGCAATGCCCAAATTTTTTAAAAGTTAAAGACATGAAGGAAAAGAGCCATGGAATATTGTTTTCTTTGAGTTATGGGAAGAGAACAGAGTGTGCTAGGCACAGAGAAGGAGAAGAAAGATGAGAGAGTGTCAGCAGAAAGAAAGGGGAAGAAGGGAGAGGGATAATCTGGGAATGGAACATCTAAGAAAATATGTAATCTCCTGCATATGTTGCCAAGTCCTTTAAGTAACACTGGCAAGGAGCTTAAACTCATTCTGAATTTGAAACCAAGATCTCCTGGGAAGTGCTCTGCATGGGGCTTCCCTTGAAGATCACCAGGAAGCTAACACTGGTCCAGAATATATCAGTGTGAATAGGGCTAGGCTCTTCTAAGTTTGCCCATGCTATACTTCTGAAGTGTGATCTGCTCTGGCTCCCAGATACCTTCTGGGTGCAATTCAAGGTATTGGTTGTCACCTTTAAAGTGCTACATGACACGACATCAAGTTATTTGTGGGACTGCTTCTTCCTGTGAGTATTGCTTGTTGTACCAGAGTAGATAGGGTAGATATGCTGAGCTATGTCCTTTCTCTAAAATGTTGCCATGTGTTCCTTTTCTGTGACTACCCCATTATCCTCCCACTGCAATCTGGCAGGCTCCAGAAGGCTATCAAGACCTGGCTCAAGACCAGACACTAGGGTGCAGAGAGGGTGCCTTGGTATGGTTGTTGAATGGTTTTATGTTTCTACGGTTTTTATGTTTCTGTAGTTTTATTATTGTTGTAAACTACCCAGAGTTGCCTTTGAAGATGCATGATGATACAAATCTTTAAAATAAACAAATAGTTAAATAAAATCCTGTCTTTAATGTGCAGCAAATAGCAGTGGGAATGGACTGTTCCCATGAAATAATCAACCACCACAGTGACATTTTTGGAGAAACTATGCAGACATGGTTACAACAACCTGTAAAAATATTCTTTAGATCTAAGAAAGAAGCAAAACATTAGGAAGAGACTCAGACTGGCTCCCTGGGATATAGACGGGAGGGAGGGAGGGAAAATGCAGTCAGGCTTTCAGGATTCTGTTGCTACAGCCAATCTCAATAAACATGGACTTTTGGAGTTGTTTTCCTGGTCTGGTCTATCTCGAAAGGTGACCCTGATAATACGGTATCCAAGTTGTAGAGACAGGTTTCACAAAAGATATTTGAAGCATTGGGGAAATCAAGCAAGCCAGACAAATCATTTTCGTTTTTCCTAGGAACGCTAAGGATCTGGGAGCAGCCAGGCAGGCAAGCAGGCAAATGATGATCCTCTATTGAGCCAAGATATACTATGTCCTCTCCTCTGCATGTGGAACAAAATATCCAAAAGTAACTGTTGATTCCTTGAGATAGAGTTTGGGGCTTCTTGCAATAGAAAATATCAGATGGAAATTTAACTAAACCTTATAAATATAATGAACATAGGTAGTGTTGATCGCATTAGTTTTCATCTCTAAGTAACCTTACTTTTTGATTTGTTGTGGGGGAGGGAAGGAGATTTGGTATAATAGGATAGGAGATTTGCAAATCTATAGTTTTCCATTTCAGCTTTTCAAATAGTCTTGGATTTCTTTAGTTTTTATGACCCAGTCTCCCTTTCTCAGAATATACAGGAACAATGGCTGTCTTTTATGGTGCAGTACATATTTTATGTCATCTAATTTTTCCCCCAGTTTCTTATTATTAAAATGAGGCGATAGGTCTACTTAATCTGGTTGAATGATGTGGCCATCATTCATTTTGATTTGTACTTTATCTTGATTTTCTTGAAGTACAGCTAGAACACAGCCACTGTTACCAACAGTGGCATATACAGTAGATGCCCTTGCCTTTTGTACTGTTTATGGAAGTATGTTGCCCCTCAAATGAATATTGTTCCAGGTCAGTCTCTGGTATTAGATACGTGAGATGATAGAGATGGAAAGGAAAATACAGTATACCCAAAACAGTACATGTAGTTTGTAATAATCTGGTAAAACTAATTCTTTCCATCTGTAAAAGAAGTTGGAAACACAGTTGGCAAGATGTACTACACATTATTTAAAGGTGAAACTAAAAGTTTGTGAATGCGATATTAGTTTGATTTGCAAGGCCCTGGAACTGGGGGGACATTCTTTGTTGTAAACAAGGGCTTAGTCTTGTAACTTTCCATTTGCTAAGAGTTGAGAATTGTTTTTCCAGAGTTCTTCATGAAAGCTACCCATGAAGTGATGCAAATGTTTAGTGTTCAGTTAACACCTGTGCTTTAGCAATTTATAGCATTGTTACATTACTGTTGTACTGCCGAGGAGGAAAACTACCAAAATAGAAATGCCAGTACAGAGCTATTAGTGTCAGCTATACAAACACAGTGCTTGGGTGGGGGGTAGGGTGGGGGTGGGAAGGAAAAGTGCTTGGAGGGTGGGGGTGGAGAGAGGAAAAGATGAGCAAATAACAATCAAGTGCAAAAGTATTTGCTCAGGATTGATAACTTTGTAGTGAATGTATAGGACTTGTTGATGAACCTATTATGGCGGTTGTGCGTAACTATCAACTGCTGCCAATGTTCTTGGTAATTGGGGATCTATTTTGAATCCTGTAAAGTAATATCCATCAGCTTTCATGAAAATAACATCGTCCAGCTGGTGGAGAAAGCTTAGGATCAGATTAGAATCATGGAAAGAAAGAAAGAAAGAAAGAAAAAATCAGAAAACTATGACTTGGCTAAAAGCGGAACTTCCTACGGTGTAGAGGGATAGAATGCGCATATTTGAAATTTGATATTTATAATTAAAGCAATCATTACAAGATAATCATCTGAATCTTCCAGATGAGTTTTACATTTGATTCTCACTTGCTACTCTTCATTTCCAACACTCAGCCGGAGCAGCTGACATCCGTGAATGCCTTCTATTTCTGTGGTTTCTCCGCAGCACAACTTAATAATGCAAGAGTGTTATAACATGTGTTAACAGAATGCTAAGCGTTAGCAAGATGAATCTGCAGTTATTATTAAAAATTCTGGGGAAACAGTTTCCGAACTTGATTAATTCCAATCTTCAGTGCCAATACCACTCATGGGGGGGTGGGGGGGGTGGAGAACTAAACTCTAATCCAAGAAAATGGAAAGCAATAGACTTAGAAAAGCAGAAGAGGAGGGCAAGGAAGCTAAAAGAGCAAGGAAGCAGAGGCTTGGGGGGTATTGAGTATCTATATAGAAGTTCTTAAGAACAAACAGCTGCTACACGGGATAGGAAAATATCTTATCCAGAACCCCAGGACAAAGCAGTTTGGAGAGGATGTCATCAGCCTTGGTATGGGGGTGGGTGGGTGTGTAAATTGTGCCAGGGAAAAACCACTGTAGCATTAGACCATCATAACATGCATTTATTTGATCACCTGAATCTTTTGAAAGACTAAACCAAGCATCCCTGCATTAAAGCAAACAAAAAGGCTTGATGGTATATACTGGTGGCATGTTCAGCTTCTCAGTTATCATTGTGCTCCCCCTGGAGGAAAACATGGGCCATTGTTAGAAAGCTGTGACTACTTTAAAAATCTAAGCTACCAGGGTAAGCGTGTGATTTACCTTGGAAACTGCACTGACTCCTGGCAATTGCCTGGATAAGTCCTTGCAGTTTTCTTGGTAATGGGATGAGAAACACTATTATTCATTTGCTCAAAGAACATTACATTCTGCAATATCTGCACTTCTGTGTTTTGGATCTGTTTATTCTAACCGTGTTAGGTTAACTGGCTTATACTAAATGTGCAATAAACTCCAGAAAGAGAAGACCGGGTCAGGAATGAATAATTGCTGAGCTCTTTACTTTCCAAAGTTCTTTGTGACCCCATTTGGCTGACAAACTTTGTACATTGTGAAATATGTTGGAAAGGAAAGTTTCTGGCATTGCCTACTGTATAACCTACGTGTGTCTAACATCTCTCATAAATAAAAAATAAAATAAAATCTCTCAGAATATTCAGTCACATTAATTAGTTTAGCACAGCATAACCAACATGCGCACCTCCGGGCATTGTAGAAGTTCACTTTCCATCATCCCTTATAATAATATTGGCCATGGTGCCTGAATCTCCTGGGAATGCTGCTCCAGGAATATTTAGAAGGCTATACAAATGCATTCTCATGTACAACCTTTCATGGATTACAGTCCACTTCTTCAAAAGCCCAAAACTTTGTTACGAAATGTATTAGGATGGGTTTTGGGTTGGCTAAAAGGACTCCATCTCTATAATTTTTAAATATAGGGGTTCTTTCTATAGATATAGCAGTTGAGTTACACAAGAGCAATGCCTCCCAAGACCTGACCATGAGCAATTTATAACTATTGTTGTATTTCATTGGTTAAGAAGAAATAAAGACTGGGCAGAGATTACTTTTATCCCACTATACAAGAAGGAATGAGAGGGGCTGGTATTTATCAAGCAAAAAGACCGTTTGCTCTAGAAGGAAGAAAAGGAGAAAGTGAGTTAATTTTGAGTGTCGCTATGCTTAAATTTCCATTGAATTTGCTCTTCGCTCAAAATAAGAGCTTCCTCTTTGCCTCTTGAAAACAAGATTTCCCCTCATTCCAATGTATCTGCAACATTTCGTTGTTGTTTGTAACTTATGATTAATGGTTGTAACTAAGATTTATGACCTATGACTCATTACTTGTTGTTTATATGTATACTATGAGCTTATGCACCGGAGACAATTTCCTTGTGTGTGCAATCACACTTGGCCAATAAAGAATTCTATTCTATTCTATTCTATTCTATTCTATTCTATTCTATTCTATTCTATTCTATTCTATTCTATTCTATTCTATTCTTATTCCTATTCCTATTCCTATTCCTATTCCTATTCCTATTCCTATTCCTATTCCTATTTCTATTTCTATTTCTCTTCTCTACTCTACTCTACTCTACTCTACTTTACTCTATTGAATAGACTGGCTGCCACACCTTGCCTCTTCCTGTTCCATTTGACTCAACCCAGGTTTGGGGAAAAACCTTCAGATTCTATATTATTGGCCTACTACACTATCAGGATTTGTTGGTACAACATGGCTTGCCATAGGGTTTGCTGTAAGCACCAAAGCTTTTAGGCTTTATAGAAAATAGAGATTAGCTGAATGCTTTCTATGAGTTCACCATAATACTAAATAGGCTTGGGATCTCTGGAGAATGAAGACAAAGTGGGGAAGCTTAGACTGGACTGAATACTTTGAGAATGATTGATAAGATTAATCCTGGGAACTTTCCTATTATATTGAGCATGCATATATGTTGAACTCAGTGGTCAGAAAGATTGGATATAAAGTGAAATAATAACAACCTCATCTCAAGGAACACCAACAGTTTCTAGTAAAGGAAAATGGGCCCCAGCTAAGCTGCTACTGAAGCTTCATCCCGCTTGGAAGTTGGCCACTTCCATATAATAACATGAGGAAAGGTGAATAAACATTTAGGCAGAAGAAACATGAAATTCTAAAAATACCAGCAACAATATACAAGTAGTCTTCAACTTTGGACCACAATTGAGCCCAAAAGTTTCTGTTGCTAAGTGAGACAATTGTTAAGTGGATTTTGCCACATTTTATGACCTTTCTTCTTAAGTGAATCACTGCAGTTCTTAAGATAGTAACACAGTAATTACGCGAATCTGGTTTCTCCATTGACCTTGCTTGACAGAAGGTCACAAAAGATTATCACATGACCCCAGAACACTGCAACGATCATAAATATGAGTCAATTGCCAAGAATATGAATGTTGATCATGTGACCAAGGGGATGATGCAACAGTTGTAGGTGTGAAAAACAGTCCTAAGTCACTTTTTTCAATGTCATTGTAACATCAATCGGTCATTAAATGAACTCTTTTAAGTCAAGAACTATTTTTAAGAAGATGTTGGATAACCATTTGTCTGAAGTGCTGTAGGGTTTCCTGCCTGGGCAGGGGGTTGGACTAGAAGACCTCCAAGGTCCCTTCCAACTCTGTTATTCTATTCTATTCTATTCTATTCTATTCTATTCTATTCTATTCTATTCTATTCTATTCTATTCTATTCTATTCTATTCTATCCTATCCTATCCTATTCTATTCTATTCTATTCTATTCTATTCTATTCTATCATACCTTTTTTAAAAAACTTCTAAAAGTTATCATAGCTGCAAGGAAAGACTGGGATAAATATATTTCTCCCCCCCCCCACATTTAGATTTACTGTTTATGCTGCCCCAAACATGGTAATGATTTTTTTGCTTATGGCAAGTTTAAAAAGTATGAATATTATTGGGCAACAAATAGTGTGGCTCATTTCATCAGAATTCAGTGGTAGAGAAACAACGTGGTGTAGCCCAGATATTAACCCTAGTGTATGACAATCATCATTGGAATTAGTTACATTTTTCTTCTTTCAACTAGCTACAGACTTATCCATCATCAGCATTATTTCTCAAACATTTGGTTAAACTAAGTGTCAATCTTTCGGTTTGTCTGGGATGCACTGAATGAAGAGGAATTGTTTTGGGCCACATATAAAATATGTAATAGAAATATATATAAATAACAAACTTTCTTTATTTTTTACAGCTTTATTACAATTTTATAAGACCACATTACTAGCTATCGATGGGTTGGACATGTCTGGTTTAAACTCTTTCCGAAACCCTGCTTTATAATTTTCATATGTCAGTATAATGTTATAATGTTTTTGAAAAAATACTGAGTTTTTTGCTTTATAATAGCAATAGCTCTTAGACTGATACACTGCTTCATAGTGCTTTACAGCACTCTCTAAGATGTTTAGAGTCAGCATCAGGGGTGAAATGCTTCCGGTTCGTACCAGATCGCCTGATCTGGTAGCGATGACGGTGGGTGGCTCAGAGAACTGGTAGCAGAAATCCGTGCCCACCCCCATGCCCAGCTGAGCCACACAATCATCAGAGGCTTTTTTTTTTACTTTTAAAAGCATTTTTTCTTCAGCCGAAAATATGCTTTTAAAAGTAAAAAAAAAGCCTCTGATGATTGCGCGGCTCAGCTGGGATTGTCAGAGCCTTTTAAAAGCATTTTTCTACAACCTCGTAGAAGAATTGCTTTTAAAAGGCTCTGACAATCCCCTGCTGAGTTGCCTGATCGTCAGAGGCTTCTGTTTTCTTTTAAAAGCATTTTTTTTTGCTTTTAAAAGAAAAAAAAAAGCCTCTGACGATCAGGCAACTCAGCTGGGATCGTCAGAGCCTTTTAAAAGCATTTTTTTTACAACCTCTGAAGAGGTTGTAGAAAAAAATGCTTTTAAAAAGTAAAAAAAAAAAAAAAGTTGGCCATGCCCACCCAGTCACATTACCCCCCACCCCCACCCACCACCAAGCCACACACCACAGAATCGGTGGTAACAAATTTTACATTTCACCACTGGTCAACATAATGCCCTCAACGATCTGGGTCCTCATTTTACTAACCTAGGAAGGATGGAAAGCTGAGTAGTCAGCAGAATTAGCCTGCAATACTGCATTCTAACCCCTGTGCCACCATGGCTCTTATGATTGGGGCTATTCCACACATTGTTAATGCTTTACTTGCATACAAAAGGAAGTATTGATAAACAGACTGCAAGCATGCACATGTGTGTATTTTCCAGGATTGTCCTTCAAGTCACAGACTTTTCTAAAATTGCAAAACGTTCTGGGGTGCTCCATTCTTGGCAGAACATTTGGGAGAAGCATGTCACATCTTGACTACAGCTTCCTACCATCTAAGCAGGTATACCAGAGGTACAACTGTTGCCCCAGCAGCTCTTAAAAATAGAAAAAATCTGAGTTTCCCTCAGCCAATGCAAAAAAAAAAAAAAAAAACCTGCAGTAAGCAGAAACCAATGTGTCATTTCCTTTAATTTCTTGCCATGGAATAGTTTATTCTAAATGAATAGACTGCCAGTCAGGCTCTCAAGCCACTCTTTGACAACCCAGTACAGGCATGTAAGTTCTGGAGGGACCCCCAGCTTCCCCTCTCCTTCCTCACTTGATTCTGCTAGGTTGCTTTAATATTTGCTCATTGAAAATGACCATTTAAGGTGCCTTCTTTACCTTGTGCGATGGCCAAGTTGCTGTCCTTTAGGATATCCATTTGGAACTTGTGTGTTTTTTCCGAAAGTGAAATTCGTTAAGGTCCCCTCAGTGGGGCTGATATACTTCAGCCCAATCTGTATCATCTCTCATCCTTGCTTGAAGGATCTGCGCAAAGCTCTGCTGCTGTGCTTAATTTATTGAACCTGAGCCTCCTTCACAGGTAATGCCTCCCCAAGGATGTTCTTATTTGGTGTAAACAGTGGTAAAATGTTCTTCCACCTACTCACTTGTCTCTGTTTACTGTATGCCTCTCTGACAGGCAGGATCTACATAAGCAAGATAGTGATCAGAGTATCAACAGGCTCATTAAAAGGGACCATTTATTTTTCGAAGGGTAAACATTATCATCCTGATTTCCCTTGCAACATCACAAAAAGAAAGAAAGAAAGAAAGAAAGAAAGAAAGAAAGAAAGAAAGAGAAAGAAAGAAAGAAGGAAGAAGGGAAGGAAGGAAGGAAGGAAGGAAGGAAGGAAGGAAGGAAGGAAGGAATTCCACGTGTACCAGAAGAGCAAAACATGGTACATGGAAGAAGGAGCAGCGGGGGTGTGATCCCCTTAGGAGGCTCTTAATTTCTGCCCTTCTGATGATTAAATGTCCTTGAACTGATGGAACATAAACACAGAAGTTGGGCTTTCAAACTGCTTCTTACTGGTTCCTTTGTTTCTGCTTGAAGACAAAAATAGAATCAGGTGAACAATAAATTTCACATTTCTAAGTGAGTGGCTATGAGATTTAGTGTCTATGAAAACAAAGGTGCTATAAATGTATGTCAGGGCTAGTCTGGGAAGGTCTTTGGATTAATCGGTCACATGTTTAAAGTGTAATGTTGAGTAGAGGTATCTCAGCCTTCATCAATAAGCACATGGCTTTAATTTGTAGCATTACTTATATCGGAAAACAAGTACTAAAATGACATTGGTATTAGATGGGAATGCAAAGGCAACTTAATGCCATTTTAATTCATTATATCATTCCACCCCCCACTTCAGTTTCAGTTGCCAAAGGTCCTTCTAAGTCCTGGAAAACTACATTCAATGTCAGTGCCCCTTTCTCAATAGAGGCCATTGAGCCTGGGCTTCAAAGAAAGGCTCAATTTTGGAACTCAGCTCACTGGATTTTTTTTAATATTGAGATTAGGTCTTCATTCTTCTTCTGATACCATTTTTTAGTTACAGATAGGAACCTTAACAACTGGAAATGTCCAGTACCTCTCTAGATTTCTAAGTGTGTCTGTATCTGCATAATGAAGTTGGAAAATTCCTTTCCATAGTATAAGAATCCTTTGCATTGAGTTTGATTCCTCATAACTTCATGGAAATATAGTCTCCACAGACATTTTCAGTTCTTTGGCCTATTGATTGCTGACTGTGGCATTTGGACATCATAAAACCATTATCATTTATAAAAAAAACATAAGTTGGCCTAATTCAAACTTGGTCTAGTCCAGCCTTCTTTTCTGACAGGGTCTAAGATAATTTACCATGGCCAGCTTGGCGTAGCTAGCTCCCTACCACTACTTCACTGCAGGACAACTCCACACAGTCAGTTCGCTGCAAGGAGAACTCTCCAGGGAGAGCCAGGTGGGTTGATGATTGAGTGGGTGGGCAAAGCATAGAGTGGTGATGGTGGCCTTCCCATTTTCACAACCCCTGCGAATGCTACTGAGTTTTGGGCCAAAGAGGCTGGGGATGGCGGTGGCAGCAATGGGCAGGGTGGGCAGTAGGAAGGTAGCGGTGGACGGGTGCATCCCATTTTCACACACCGCTGCTGATGTCCCTGGCCTCTGGTTCAGAGATTATTGTGGCGGTGGCAGCAGCAGCAGCAGTGAATATGAAAATGGGACATTCTGGCTGCTGCCTGCCTCCCTCCCTCCCTGGCCACCACCACCGTCACTGCCATCCTCTTCAGCCGAGTGCTCAGCACAGTAGTGTGGCAGCAGCGGCGACTGTGAAAAGGGACACCCTTGGCTGTTGCCACGTCCTCACCACCCACTCCACCAATTGCCACTGCCACCACTGTCTCTTTGGCCTTGAGGTGGTGGTGGATAGTGTGAAAATGAGAAGCACCTGCTGCACTGCATTCTGCCTACACACTCACTTGCCCATCTGCTTGATTCTCCCTCTGGCTGCCCATGGCAAGTTGTCCCTGTGGCAAGTTGACCATGTGGAGTTGTCCTATGGCAACTTAGTGGCGATGAGTTGGTAGAGGTGAGTTGGTGGTGGTGAGCTGCTGGTGGTGGTGAGGTGGCCATGCCAAGTTGGCTGCAGCAAGTTGTCCCATTTTGTTCTAACAATGGTCAACCAAGAAATCACAAGGAGAAATTAAAGGCAATATTACCTTTCTGGTTCCTTGAAACTGGTACTGAGCAGTGTATGACCATTATATCTTGAGCTAATAGATAGCTAATTATGACTAGTAGTCATTAACAGTTTTAATCTCTACAAATTTTCTAATCCTCCTTTAAAATTATCCAACACCATCACTATATTTTCAATGGGAAAATTGCACAATTCATCTATGCTCCAAGTGAAGTAGTATTTCTTTGTTATTGTTGTGATTTTTTCCGCTATTCAATTCTAAATAATGATACTAGCTTTTTAAAATTAAGGTATCTGTATCTTGACTGCAAAAATTTGGATGATGAATAGGTGGCAGCAAAGACTGAGTTTTCTGTAAATTTGCTCCTGATCTCAAACTAGAATTTCTGTACAAAGAGAGGCAAGTTGCAAATATTTTTTTGTTTCTTTCTCATCTCTTCTCCCTTTGTTCTGGTTGCATATTCTCCACATGCAGCAATATGGAGGATTGTTTCCAATATTCTCCTAGATGAATTGGAGTAGGCCAACTGGAGATGTATAAAAGGAACTAATTAAGGAACCGTGAGCAAGGGATCATTCTTTCATGAGATCTTAATGGGGAGGAAATTAAAAATGCAAAAGGCCCTGTTCCCTCCAGATGAGCAACGTAGTTGAATATAATGAATGTTTCATGATTACTTCATGTCAGATGTGTACCGTAAAGAGGAGAACTGAGCTAAGCATCTTTTAAATCCCATTTGCTAAAGAGTTCAGAACAGTGCAGAGAGAACAAGAAATTACATGGCACAATGGGTTGCAGCCAACCCAATTCCTGGCGAGAGGATGGATGCTACCTTCTCATTTAACCAAAATTCTACCATGCTCAAATGGCTTTTGGTATAAAAGGCATAAATAGACTATATTCTTTAGATTTTTTTTAAAAAAACCACTTGAACCAAATTTAGGGAAGTGTTTAGATTAAGATTAAGATTAAGATTAAGGGGCAACTTCCCCGCTGCCTTGAAAGAGGCGGTGGTGAGGCCTCTCCTCAAGAAGCCGTCCCAGGATCCGGCAATATTGGCCAACTACCCTCCGGTCTCCAACCTTCGCTTCATGGCGAAGGTTGTTGAGAGTGTGGTTGCGTGACAGTTCCCACAATTTCTGGAGGAAACATCTTATCTAGATCCATTCCAGTCGGGTTTCAGGTCTGGGCACAGCTCCGAAACAGCATTGGTCGCGTTGGTTGATGATCTCTGGAGGGCTCGGGACAGGGGTTGCTCCTCTGTTCTGGTCCTGTTAGATCTCTCAGAGGCTTTTGATACCATCGACCATGGTATCGTGCTGCACCAGTTAGAAGAGTTAGGGGTGGGAGGCACCATGTTGCGGTGGTTCTCCTCCTTTCTCTCTGACCGGTCGCAGTCTGTGTTGACAGGGGGACAGAGGTCGACCCCGAGGCCCCTCATATGTGGGGTGCTGCAGGGGTCGGTCCTCTCGCCTCTCCTGTTCAACATTTATGTGAAGCCTCTGGGCGAGATCATCCGTGGCTTCGGGGTGAGATACCACCAGTACGCTGATGACACCCAGCTGTACATCTCCACCCCAGGCCACCTCAATGATGCCCTTGAAGTGATGTCCCAGTGCCTGGAGGCTGTGCGGATCTGGATGGGGAGGAACAGGCTCAAGCTCAACCCTTCCAAGACTGAGTGGCTGTGGCTCCCGGCATCCCGATATAGTCAGTTGACTCCATCACTGACTATTGGGGGCGAGTCTTTGGCCCCCACAGAGAGGACTCACAATCTGGGAGTCCTCCTGGATATGCAGCTGTCCTTGGAGGAACATCTGACAGCTGTAACCAGGGGGACCTTTTGTCAGGTTCGCCTGATTCGCCAGTTGCGGCCCTTTCTTGATCAGGATTCCCTGTGCACAGTCACTCATGCCCTCGTCACCTCTCGCCTTGACTACTGCAACGCTCTCTACATGGGGCTCCCCTTGAAGAGCACCCGGAGGCTCCAACTGGTCCAGAATGCGCCAGCACGGGTAGTGACGGGAGCAGCATGGCGCTCCCATGTAACACCGCTCCTGCGCGAGCTGCACTGGCTCCCAGTCGTCTTCCGGGTCCACTTCAAGGTGTTGGTTATCACCTTTAAAGCGCTCCATGGCATCGGGCCTAGCTATCTTCGAGACTGCCTGCTGCTACCGACGACCTCCCATTGTCCCGTGCGCTCCCACAGAGAGGGCCGCCTCAGGGTGCCATCAGCCAATCAATGTAGGCTGGTGACCCACAGGGGGAGGGCCTTCTCTGTGGGGGCACCTACCCTCTGGAATCAGTTGCCCCCAGAGATAAGACCTTAATCCAAGACCTTAGTGCCTTCCGCCATGCCCTTAAAACCCACTTTTTCCAGCAAGCCGGGCTGACTTAAGAAGAAATTTTAAATGTTTTAATTGTTTTAATTGGTTTGTATTTTTAATTTTGGGCCAAATTTATATATATTTTAATTGTTTTTTAATATTTGTATTTCATGTTTTTTTAATTTTGGCTGTACACCGCCCTGAGTCCTCAGGGAGAAGGGCGGTATATAAATTTAAAAATAAATAAATAAATAAATAAAATAAGTTGGGGATTTCCACGAAATGATTGATGTTCCTGACACCACATTAGCTTTGAGCCATTGTGTTATACCATATTAGTAATGGCTTGGCGGTGCAGAGGATATCAGGTTAGGCACAGTTCATGAGTGAATTTTTCAGCACTTGGTGAGAAACAAATATGAATCACATCATTTC